CAGCTTACTCTGTCACCCTAGATCACAATATTGTAGCTACTTGAAGGGCAAGAGGAAGGGAGAGCCGTGCAGCCTGGTGTCTGCCCAGTACATGAACCCTGACATTGTGTGTCTGCTCCAGGTAAAACTGGCGCCCCATTTAGTGCTCCCTATTCTGCAACTAAGTTTGCCTTAGACGGATTTTTCAGCTCCTTGCGACAGGAATTCATCATAGACAAGGTCAACGTCTCCGTCACGCTCTGCATCCTGGGCTACATCAACACAGGTAAGCTCAGCAACACTGGGGCCCCGCAACTCAGTGCATTTCCAGACAGACCCAAGCCAAGCCCACCACCCACCCTCTGGTCCCAGGCTGCTCAGCACGCTGCTTCACCACCGCTGCTGGACCCTCAGCCTGCAGTGGCTGTACAGTTGTGGAAATGGGACCCCAGCTCTATAAGAAGTGTGGCCTGAGACCTTTGACTCCGCTATCCTTGCGGTAAAACCAGGGGAGGTGGGGATTCCATCCTACGGTCACTCAAGAGGTGGAAAGGAACGGGAAGGACATAGCTGTAATTGTTATTTATTTTAACTATTCTAAGCCTTGTTAAGTAGGTCTGATCCCCAGAGTTTGTTGGTTTGTTAGAGGAAGCTACAGACACCCCAACTGAGGCGGTGGTGCCTGTGGCAGCCCCTCCATCCATCACTGCTCCTTCCCTCCCTGTCCTCCCGTTCCTCCAGAGAACGCCGTGCGAGTGGTCTCGCACGCCATGCGGGACACACCGGCACCGAAGGAGGAGTGTGCGCTGGAGATAATCAAGAGCGGGGCGCTGCGCCGGCGGGAGCTGCACTACCCATCCCAGGCGGTGGGCAGCCTGCTCCTCCTCCGGGGCATAGCCCCTGACTTCCTCGACTCCCTCATCAGGAGCAACTATAAGGTGGAAAACATCAGAAGGACATAGCCCCCGGGACGGCGAGCACGCCGGGACACCTTGGGCCAGGCATGAGGGATTTGGGTGTTAATCCGGCTACTCAGGTGCCCTTTTCCATGCCACTGGGGCAGCCCCACGCTGATGCACCCTGGCAAGCCAGACAGGATGCACCAGAAGCCTAACACACAGCATGAAAATGTCCTTTTTAGTAATGAACGCTTGCAACTGGCTTTTTCTGACCAAGAGGCACTTCAGGGAAGCTCCTGGCAGCAGGATCTGCTGCCAGTGTCCTGCTCACCAGCAGGTTTCCTGCTCAACCTCCAGAAACTGTTTCCCCACTGAAAGCCACAAAGGCAGCAGTGCCGAGCACTGTGGGAAGCGAGCCGGGCCACAGCCCAGAATGAGGATTTGGGCCAAGCAGCACAAACCACCCAAAGCCACGAGAGGGTGTTGGAACCAGGAATTTTTTTGTCATGTATCCCTTCTAGGCTGGTCTTTGTAAAAATAAATCCTACATTACTTTACAAGATCTCTGCTTTTACTTGTGTTCCTTTTCCACATGCATAGGCACAGAGCCCTTATCAGCACCCAGCTGGTTAAACCGACCTCCCTGCATGATTTGCATTAACACAGCTTTCACTTCTCTAAAGACCTTAATGAATTTCTGCCATTGGTGACCTCTCCTCAGCTGCCGATACACGCTCTTTTTCCTTTCCAATCTGCAAGAAGCCTTAAAATAATAGCATTACTGTACTTCCCTAAGTCTGGATTTCTCTACCCCAAAGCAGCTCAGGGAGACTCAGCCACCAAGTGCCACAAGCAGCTCCGCGAACCAGCGCTCAACCTCCGCGTGTTGGAGACCGATTAAAGGGAGACGGCCCAAAAGATAATTGCGAGCTCTGCTTAGAGAGAAGCTGGAGACTTTGGGGTCCCAAGATAACCCAAATCCCGCTACGAGCCGGGCCCCTGCGCCCCGCAGCTGGGCTGCAAGCAGAGACAGGAACCAGGGCTCGGCTGCGGCTGCAACGTTTCCTGTCTTACAGAGCGAGAAAAAGGGCGAGAGCAGCAAAATGAGGTGGTTGGCATGAAGATGGCAGTTGAAGCGTGTTCACGCCTGATAACCCCCCACTCACCCTGCTCCTCCACGGCGGTTGAGGGGTAGGACGGGACCCCTCAGGCCAGGTAAGTGTCCGCAGCGCCGGGGCCAGCGAGGGATGGAGGGGAGCAGAGGCTGCCGCGCTAAAGGCAGCGGCATGCACCTTTTTTCCTCTTTTTTCAACCCGTTCTCAGCCTACACGATTGACACAGGGAGGCTGTAACATGAACCAGCAAGAAGCACTTTTTTTGTTTGTTTCCCTTGAAGCAAGAAACGTAACAGCTTGGAAAGCAAAAGTAAAGGACGTGTCTGTTAATTAGAGAGGGTAATTTGGGGGTAACAGAAGGAGGAAATAGAGTATTAGCTTGTCAAGAAGGCCTCAACAGTTTGCTCAGCATGGGGTGAGTAATGGACCATGTATTTCTTTAAGCTTTACCTTGCTTTAAAGTGCATTTTTGGTTAACCGAGGATATTAAGAGCTGTTGTTGGGATGCACGGTGACAGCCTGGGCAGCCCAAAGGCAGCGCAGGTGGGAGAGGGGCTGAGCTATTCCTGACGGGAAGA